CGCCAACCTACCATGGAACTTTGAATGGAGACCTGGGTAGATCGATAGTAAGGTTATTTACAAATATAGATAGCAAAACTGCAACCTGCATTTCACAAGCAACTTATGAGCAGGTAAAGTTTGTAATGGTGCAGTAGGGTGGAGGCTTGGTGGTGAGCTGTGAAGCATAAGCGAGGAATCGCATACGTCGAATCGAGTCGTGGTGGTTCAGTGGTAAGGTTCGACGTTCGACGACTCGATTCGACGTATGCGATTCCTCGCTTATGCTTCACAGCTCACCACCAAGCCTCCCTACTGCACCATTAAACTTTACCTGCTCATAAGTTGCTTGTGAAATGCAGGTTGCAGTTTTGCTATCTATATTTGTAAATAACCTTATAGACTCTATCGATCGTTTCCATTCAAAGTTCCGTGGTAAGTTGGCGGACTTCTCTGCTCAGAGACTGCACTGTTTTTATTCAACGAGGATAAGCAGCAGGCTGTTTAGCTCTTCAGGCACAGAAGGCTAGTTGACCATACTGTAGCAAATGGAGCTTACCAAAGCCAGTTAGTAGCAACCTAAGGTGGGTAGAAGGAGGCACTCGGTCATACAATTTGAATCTTACTCTGACCAAGGCTTCACTTGGAACACAACGGACCAAAGTCGCTGAGGGACAGTATTGCAGAGAGGACATAGTTTCCATCGAAACTTGTGATTAGAAAGAGACCCTGAGGCGCTGCCAGTGGCCCAAATTAAGTTAGTTCAAAACATACTACGTTTTCCACACTTGCCGACCAAAATGTTGTAGGCAGTTTGACAAAAGTGCTGAATCGAAGTATACAGCGGACTAAGAGCATTTTTAGTTGCATTTAAGCCTTCAACATAAGTTTCTGGAGCCCCTGATGAGGTTTTGGGGCAGCACAATCCCTAGTCAAAGTGATAAACAGGGGATTGGTACGCAATTCAAAAAAACCTTCACAGCAATGCTGTGATTAAAGGACAAACTGCTCACTTGAAACATAGTAAGCTATTTTCTAGGGCTGCACAAACGGAAACACTTACAACTTTTGTAAAACACTCACACTATCGAAATGAACGAATGTTTGTCCAATCTTGAAAGGAATCGATCCGCTGTCTTCATCGTCCAACAACATGATTTCATCTGCAGCTTCATTAATGTTAAGCAAGTCATTCGAGAGCTCTTTGATCTCTTCCTGAAATTCGCCACATCTCTTATAACTGAATATATAGGAATTAAGATCTGGAATAAAGGAGAAAAGTTTTCGCCGCAGAAAAAAAAACGAGTATAAGCAACTGTACACAACATTTATGGCTCCTCATCAGATTCATGATTGATCCGATCACCAAGTTTGGCCCTTTCTGGAATGCGACGTGCATTCTACTTCTACAAAATCGTAGCGGCTTACTGGATGCGATGTGCCCTATACAATGCCAATTTTTTGAGAGCGTTCATACTTTGCGGCAGCGTTTTGAGCCATACCTACACTTTCATAGTAGCTCGAAGCACTAGCGCTGGTGGCCATTCGAAACGCGCAAACGCTGGCAGACGCTCAAAATGCCCGATCAATATCAAGTTCCAGAGTTCAGTTTCAGAATATTGGTGCGTCAGTGTTTTGAGCGCCTAGTTTCCTAGGTGCTCAAAACACTGTCGCAAAGTATGAACGCACCAATATCCACGTAAACCAATCTGTTATCAATTTACTGTTCCCGGAGAGTAGAGGGCTTATTGAGCAGGGTGTAGAGCGGCTTATTAGGCAGGGCGAGGATCAATCAGGATTTGACGACCCGGTTCATAGTTCCAACGATAAACTCGTTGGCCGAGCGAATACTCCCCCCCCTGCACCTCAAACTTCGAGAGCTTGGCAAGGAAATGCACTGCAAACGAGTATACCCGCTAAGAAAAAGTCAGCTACCCTTTGTGCTTGCCGAAGAAAAAGTCTACACTGCTGGGCCCACTCGCTCTCGTGTCACGTAAGGTCGCACTACCACAGAATATCCGGTCTAAAAAGGTTAAACTATTCTCTCTTCAGTCCCTTAAGCACCAAAAGCCGGGGAACTGGGCGCGACTGTGTTTCCACCCGCCACTCATGCGACCACCCACTGCCGGAAGAGTAACTAAGATAAGCAATGTTAGGAAATACACGGACTACGCTTGATAAAATACCAGACACACGCCAGTTGCAAGGCTCCTGCTCTTTATCATTTGGCTCACGTAGACCTCGAATTTAATCAAAAAACACAGAAACAAGCGTCAAAATGGAATTTTCCTCGCAGAAAGTCACAGCGTGGTGGGGACGAAACGACATATCAATTGTAAAAATACGACCGGAATACGAACCTTGATTTGGGTGAAATTCTGATGTAACCGAGCAAACTTATTGATGAGTTGCTGATCTGCACTCGTTACGGTTGGAGCTGACATAATCTGATAATATAATACTTTTTAACGAACTACCGATCTGTATAACAAGGCAACAGAGAAAGTATCGTGTAAATTTTCAAACAGAAGCAATACAAGGGAACTAGCCTCGTGCTCCCCCCCGTCTGCCAGAGTCCCCCCTTGTTATTGAAAAAGAAACTCACGTCGGGTCAAATAGATTGCGCAGTTAGAGCGCTGCCAAAAGTCGCCAGTTCGTACTGTTCCGACTTCCCAGAAGGAGCATAGGACGTAGCAACCAAAGTCCCAAAGCGACCGTGTCCTATGCTCTTTCTGAAATTCGAGAAAATTGAAAAGCATGGAGCAAAGTTTAATAGATTGTAGCCTAGAAAACGTTCGTGCTTGCTAAGGTGGAGGGGTGGTCGTGTACTCATCGGCCCATAAGTTTCGAGATGCTTTCGTTCTAGCTGGCAGATGTAGCAGTTAGGAGGACGTGAAGTAGCGCCTGAAGAGTTTCATAGAGATGGGAAATTCTCCTCTGCGCCGTAGCTCAGTAAGAAGTAAATCTTGAAGAAAGAACGAACAAATTAGGACCCCACAAAAAAAAAAACAGGGGCGCTAGAAATGCGAGTTTTCCGGCCGCTGCCATGGAAAGTAAAGAAAGCTTCCACATCAGGATAATTGGCTTGTGCTAATGGCCACCGGACATCCAACGAGACCTCTGTGGGTTATGCTGGGCTGAGAAAGAGAATGAGTAGGGGTAATTGGGTTAAAACGCAAAATGAAAAAGCAACAGGAAAAAAATCGTACGTCCACCCTAAGGAGTGCGAGTTAGGAGCGTCGATGTGGTAAGGCGTAAGTGAGGCTTCGGCTCAACCTGTCGACGTTGAGCAGACTTAGTCGCGCGACTGCGATTAACACTGCTACGAAGCTGATCGTTATCTCCCGCATCTGCTAACTCAAAAGCATTCATCATAGAAATCTTTTCAGTCATTGCAGAAGAAGCCCTGCGCGATTAGCCAGATTGAGCGCGGATTTGTCACTGCTTAGCAAATCAAAATTGCGAAGCCCAAGAGGCGGACTAGATCGCTTCAACGAAGGGAATAACAAAAAGAACGAGAAAGAAGAAACAAGAAAGAAAAGGAAAAAAGAAACCACAAAAAACAAGGCAAGCCGAGCGACTCACCAGCGGCATCGCAAGCGAACTCGAGAGACGTGGGCTGAGAAGAAGCCATAATTATTAGCTATCAAGATTCTAGTACTCACAGAAACGTTAGGATTGATATGAAAATACTGCTCCTAATCGCTCAAAAACACTGGTCGTCAGCTCATCAACGGCGAAGTATGCGTCGCAAAGCCTAAGTTCGTTAGCAGCAATCCCTGAAACTCAATTTCCAGTTTCATCAAGGGGTAGGCCCAATGCGTGGAAGGCGGATCGGGATATCGATTGAATTGGTGCTGAGGAAGCGGATTCCACAGAGCAGGCACAGTGGCGCTGAAGTCGAATGCTGACTGCCTAATGCAAATTGCAATTCCGAGAAAATGTCGTAGAAAAAAGAGACCTCTCAGAAGCTGTTTTTGAGCATCAAAAGAGAAATTTGGCGCCTTCAGATAGGGTAGTTGATGACGAAGAGACGATTCACTATCTTAAAGACAGCGCCCGCGATGGACTTTGGCAGGTCTCAGGGGTCAAATTTGTTAGAACAGGTGGCCAATGAAGCACTAATCAAAAAAAGTAGGAAAAAGGTGTGGAAGAGCGTGAAATAAGACCCTACGAAATTTAAGGCATGTGGACGAGTTTCGCAGACCTTTGGTGAGTTCTCCAATACACGTCGCGGCCTCGGAACTCCAGAAACTTAGCGTTTATCAATGCCAGCAAGCACTGATAACTGTTAACCAGTCGGGGCGGGATTAACAGGGAAGGAGGCGTCAGCTCAGCCTTGTTGACTCCGCCCTCGTCAATCAATACATTTCGAGCCGCAAGAGTGGGATATCCGCTATGGTTGCGAACTCCGCGTTCGTTTTCAATTGGAGGGTTTTTTTCCAGCTTGTGCGTTGATTCGCGGACCACGCAGGTTGCCTTTAAGCTCAAAAATACAGAAAGTTTGAGCGGATGGAGATAAAAACCCTTCGCATGACGACTGTGATTTAGTTTACTTTAGAATTTTAACCTTTGTTTCTTTCGTGCTTTACACCTTTAAGATGCCTTACCTTACTCGAAAAACCTCCAAAAAGAGAAGTCATGCGCATCGTCCACGGTGGAATGAGCTTGTGGGCTCAGAAATCCAAGCGGGAAAGCGTAATCGTGTACGGCAATCACGGTAGTTTTGTCATTTCGCGTACAGAAGTCTGCTCCTCGATGTCTCCAAAGCTGGCCGATCCGCCTACGCATAGCATATCATTTCTGAAAGATCGGTTTAATCGCGGAGCTCAAACGCGTTTGTTATCGTCATTCCTTGTTCCTTTGAAGTCCAGACCTAATTAATTACAGCATATAGTGGATGTGCATATAGTCTTATTCGCTGCCAATGAAGGGGCGTGTCAGGATAGATAGGTTAGGGCGTCGGTGCACCAAGATCCTGTTTTTCAGTGGGTAAGACGAGCAGGTGCAATTCGTGTGAAAGATGATATGTATTCGCACACAGATTCGTACCTTACTTGCTGCGCTTGCATGTTGGGGCGGGAACACGGGTTTGGGCGCGTGCGCAAAAACCGATTTCACCTTGACGCTCAATTCATCCGCAGCGAACGACCAGACTATGATAAGAAATGTTAAGCAATTCATCAGGTAATTGGCCGATTAGAGATAGAGCAATTTCCCAGCTTTGCCCATAGGACGAAATGTCAGCCCACCCCACCCGACTTACCATACATCCGATGGAGCGATTTTCCATTTTCCCCTCACGAAAATGTTTAGGAACTTGCCAGGCGTCACTGGCGATGCCTAAGAGCATTTCACTAGATCAATGTACCTACCTTCTCCTCCAGGTGAAGTGAGAAAAGACGCTCTGAATCTCTGATCAAAGATTTCCCTAGTGAGACACCAATCCACCCATAGTGCAGTGCACAGGAGGGGTATGTGACAAGAAAATCGTAATTCACCGCGCTGGTGGGCGTCGCGTGCGACGTCGCGCCCAAATGACGATGGTTCCAGGTAGTAGATGGCGACAACAGGCAATTCAGAACCGAAAATAGTCATGAATGTCTACGATGACGGGGTCTACATGAAGTCCGGTGCTCCAATCGACAGGTTAACACGAGTTGAGAAAACGCCGCGCTATCGCCGCGCGCGGCGAATTACGATTCTCTTGCCCGTCCCTCGCACAGGAGCGCATATTTACTGTGGCTTTTATATGTGAGATAGTTCAGCACGCCGTGGTTCACGATTCTTTCGCTTCTCCAGGCATTCTGCTTCAAATCTGTATTCGGTCCAAATGAGCGAGTCGCTTCAGAGGTCAAGTGTGTGATTGTGACGTTAGGTCCGGTTTTTGACCGCGTAAATGTGTTGCTGAAGTGCACTGAATTCGCACTGTGGCGAATTCGATGAATACGTCGACAAATCATAAGACCTGCAAACTTTGGTCTCGTTTGGATAGTCACAGTAGTCTTCTTATTGTGCATGTATTATCTAGCGACAAACAGCTCCTCGCATACTGTCGTTGTTTATCGGTCATCTCTCTACTTGTGTTCTTTGAAACTGTTCCATTAATTTTCTTTCATGTTTACTTTTCATTGGCTTACCGTAAGTAGTTATATTTTAGCAGTAGAAAATAAATTAAAAATAGTTTTGCTTTATTTTGTGCTAATTAGTCCAAATTCCGATTTTAATACGCGGTTGTGTTTTCGAAATGGCAAATTGAATCCTGCGGTTCTGATGTAATTTTGCGCAAACAGTTGATGTTTTTGATGCTAGCTACTTCACGTTGTTCGTACTTTGCATGACTCTGAATAACCGGAGATCCGCGAAAAGTATACGTATCGATCGCGAATTGTGTATGGAGTATCGACGGGGCGGATAGTGCACGAAACTATTAGGTCCTCCGATTCGGAGTTGGAGTAGAATGATAGATCAATCGATAGGTATCTAAATTTTTTCTCGCGCAGCATCCAATTCGCCCGTGTCGCAAAATTTAAATGTCCGCACTGTGGGGACGCGACGCAGGTGCCGTCACGTGCACTTCGCAGTAGGACCTAAATATGTGAATTGAAAGTACTGCAGTGTATCGAGCCATTTAGCTAGTACAGCAGCGTGCTTGTAGTGTCCCTCATGTTGTCTAGAAATCTCGCTCTGAAATCCTCTAGTGAAAAACATACTTGAAATTTCAGGATTCCTTCAGACTTTGCAGAGGGATTTGGTAAAAATTGTGTGCATGAAGATATGTCAAAGAGAACATTTATTTCAAAATGGAATCCCTACCCGAAACCAGCGCCTATACCAGCCAAAAGTCGTGGTCGTTCGCGTCATGAGGATTTGCACCCTGAGAAGCGAAAAGGTATAACCTGGACTACTGTCTATTTTTTCGATGGAACTTGAGTAATTGTTTAAACGCTTGCAGAAGGAAATGGTGACGGTGGAATTCGTTGGTATGGAGATCCTTCACAGACGAAAGTACCTCCTCGAATCACCAGTGGGAGAATGACCCAAAGGGTTGGGTTGTTCCGAAATGCTAAGCAATCGCAAATCGTTGTCAATGAGATTTCCTCCGTTGTCAGAAAAGCTGTGAGTTTAAAGTTTTTTAATACTGAACGGCGCTGACGTATTTGAGTTAGGAGGGCACAAGTTCAGAGCGCCTCTTTCCCAGCCAAGTTTAGGCAGCGTTCAGACTTCGCGACGGCAGCGCTTCGGTCGCGCGATTCGACGATCGATGCGCATGCTTTCGACTGCATCGATCGCGTCGAACGCGCGACCGAAGCGCTGCCGTCGCGAAGTCTGAACGCTGCCTTAGGCTTGCAACTCAAGAGTCTCAGGGTCCTAGTGGGCTACGCTTGCAGAGCAGGCAGGCTTTACGTGACTCTGACCATCTCGAGGCCGGCGGGCTATTGAA